AGGCAGGTCAGACGGCTCCGCGGCTAGGGTCACAGGGGAGCTGGCTCTGGCGGGAAGGGACTTTGCATGTTGAAAGGACGCCCCCCATACTCTGTGTGATCACCCCTTCTCCTCCCAGGCCCCTTGGCTCCCTGCTTCACCCCTTCTCCTCCCGGGCCCCTCGGCTCCCCCCTTCCCCCCTTCTCCTTCCCTGCTTTACGTGTCTCGCTTCCTGGCCACTCCTGCCGCAGCCGCTGTGCCTGAAGCGCACGATCTGCACCTCTGCTGCCTACCGCCTCTCCGCGGGGCCCCGCTCTCTCCAGCCTCTGCTAGCTCCCCATTTCAGGCCAGTCCGAGGGGAGCACAGAGTCTCTCCAGACCCCTTCTCCCCTCAGGAGGGAGGGGGACTTGAAGAGGGGAAGGGAGGGTGTCTCAGCACGGGAGAGTCCCCTCCCCACCAGGTGGTGGGCTGTGCGCAGGCCAGCTGAGGCCCCTGCCTGAGTAACCCAAACCGCCCCTCGGGGCGGTTCCCTGTCTCATGCAGTGGCAGGGAGGCCACTTACTGAGAGAGGGAACGAGTTTGCTCTGTGGCCTGTGAGAGCCAGCTGGTGTGTAGCTCCTGCTGTAGAACGCAAGACCAGCCCGATGGGATCCGACCAAAGGCCCATCTGGGCCAGAGTCCTGTCTGGACAGTGGCCAATACCAAGTGCCCCAGGGTGAAAGAACAGAAACAGGGAATCCTCAAGTGCTTCCTCTCCTGTCAGCCAGAGGCTAGGGATGCCCTTCCTACCCATGCTGGCTATCAGCCAATGCTGGCCTTGTCCTCCATGAATTTATCTAGTTCTTTTTGGAACTTTGTTAAAGTCTTGGTCTTCACAGCATCTTCTGGCACAGAGTTCCACAGGTTAACCACTCGCTACATGAAGAAATACTGCCTTCTGCTTGTTTTCAGCCTGCTGCCTCTTAAGGTAGAGATTCACACTATAAGCTCCAGCAGTCTGTGGTTCAGTTCTGCCTGTGGGTGTTACCCATGAGAAATAGGCAGGCTGTGGCAGCACCGGTGGTACCCCCCTGATCCTGCACCCTGTCTGAGCAAGATGAGACTCCTCCAACCAGTAGTATAGAAAGGGTTTATTGCTCCTCCAGGACACAGCACCGCATAGACATGATGTGGTTTCAGGGGTTAGGACCAGGATGCCTCAGCCCCCTTGGATTAGGGGATCCATTGTCATCACTAGACCCTCAGCTAAGGCTGCTTCATGTTCCCAGCCAGCAACTACCCCTTCCCCTGAAACCTCCCTTCCTTTGTTCCCTGCCTGCCCTCAACCAGTCGTGACTTAAGGCAGCCATCCTGCTGGGTAGTGCTACAGGTACTGGCCAGTAGGGGTCACCCCAGCCCACACATAGCCACCAGTGGAGGCCCAGGGGCTATGGCCTGTCCACTACATCACGGGGCAAGGACCCATCTTTCCTGGGTTGTGAGTCGCTGTGGGGGGCAGGAAGCAGGGGGCTGAGCAGGATGCAGGAACACACGTGCCCAGAGGAAAGAACTTAGGTGCCCAGTGAGTTGATGCCCCTGCCGGGGGAAGCCGCAGCCCAGCTGGAGATGGGAGGTTCACCGAAGTACCTAATGGGACTGGCACCTGCTGTAGGTCTCACACACCCCTCCGCACCCCCCTCCCCCTGCTGGTGCTGTGCCCCAGGGGCTGTTGGGCTGTTCAGAACACTCACCCGGAAGCCGTTTCCTGGGCAACTCTTGTTCCAACATTCCACTCCTGTTCCAACGTTCCACTGGCCGGCAGAGCCCTGGGCAGCTGGTGACCCTTTTCCAGGTGAAACCTGCAGGATCCTCCTGCTGGGGTCTGGGCCATGGCCGCGCTCTCTCTCTTCCTCGACGTCCCGCTCACCACGGAAGTCAACTGGCTCCTGGATGCCTACCAGCAGGATCCCTCCCCCCACAAGGTGTACCTGGACCACCGGGGTAGGTCCCATGGGCTGGGTGCTCAATCTTCTTTGACTTTAGGGGTCCATGGGCAGCAGCCTCTGCCTGGAGCCTCCCCCGAGGGCCTGGAAAATGCCAGTTCGAGGAGGCAGAACCGCGTGAGCTCTGCTCATGCCCTTGTGCACAGCGGTGGGACTGGCCAGAGGGGTGAGCCACCCCCGGGACACACGTGGCATCTCTGCTGGGCTCATGCACGGGGCAACTACAGCCCCTCCGGCTGCCTGGGCCCCCTTCTCTCGGCACACAAGCTTGGGAGCTGGGAATGACACCCCAGCTTGCAGGGTAATGTACGCCCCCAGAGAGAGTTCTGGCTCTGGGGGGCTGTCCTGCTGTGAGTCTGGGGTGGGTTGCTTTTGGCTGGCGCAGGAGCATGTTTGCTCACTTTACCAAACAAAATAAATTAACGTAAGAACAGCCTGACTGGGTCAGACCCAAAGATCCATCCAGCCCAGTGTCCTGTCTGCCCACAGTGACCGATGCCAGGTTCACCTGAAGGAATGAACAGAACTGGGAATCCTCAAGTGATCCCTCCCCTGTCGCCTATTCCCAGCCTCTGACACACACAGGCTAGGAATCCCAGCCCTGCCCATCCTGGCTAATAGCCATTGATGGGTCTAGCCTCCATGAATCTCTCTAGTTCTTTTTTGAGCCCTGTTATAGGCTTTGCCTTCACATCCTCTGGCAAGGAGTTCCGCAGGTTTGCTGTGCAAGATGAAAGCCTGGCCCTGTTGAAATCAATGGGAGTTTTGCCCTGGATTTTAATGGGGTTCAGGATTTCATGCTCAGTATGTTAAAGTAACAAACTTTCTCTATGGGGTGCTGCCCTTCTGCCTCTGACACCCTCCCCAGGAGTAATGGGAATAAAGAAGAGACATGAAGTCACAACTCGGCAGAGCAGCGTGAAGTCACAGGTGGCTGGGCTTTCACCTTGCACAACCAACCTGTGGAACTCCTTGCCAGAGGATGTTGTGACAGCCAATCCTATAACAGGAGAGCTAGATAAGTTCGTGGCTGTTATGTCTCTGGTGCACCGGGTCGCTGCAGATGGAACAATAGTTTGTAGGGCTGTGGAGTCCTGCAGGTGAGCAGCCCCCAAGCAGTTGCTGGGCACAGCTTCTGCGGCGGGTCCCTTATCCTGTTGTCTGCAGTGAGATCTGGCACTGGCTGTTGCCCGAGCGTGCAAACCATGATCCCTCTGGGGCGGGGCTTGAGGTTCCCTGGTGCAGGTGTGGGAACAAGAGCAGCTGGAAGGAACCTGCTGCTGTGTGGGGATCTTCTCTGGGCCTACACACCATGCATGGGGCTCCAGGGCTGCAGACCCGCCCTGCCCCGCCCCGCCCGGTGGCAGTTGTCCTGTAGCATGTGAATTCAGGGGAAGGCTGCAAAACACAGAGCAGAACGTGCGTTAGGGGCAGCAGGGTTCAGAGAGCCAGGGGCTGGGGTGCAGCACAGATCTTAGAGGTCACCAGTAGCTGGGAGCAGGGCTCTTCGTGCCACACCACAGTCCACGGTGAGCGTGCAAGGCAGCGGTAGGAGGCTGTGCTGCTGCCGGCTGGGGAAAGGGGCCCGGCCTGCTCCTTCTGCTTGCAGACTGCCAGACGGAGACCGGCAAAGCGTGGGACTACCCGCCGGTGAGCCAGACCCTGCTGCAGATCTCCACCGACCCCACCCTGGATCACGAGGACCTCCCGGAGCTCGGCTTCTCCGCATTCACCAGAGCAGCCACGGAGCTGGCGCTTGGCCGGGAGAGCCGGGCTCTCGTTGAGAACAGGGTATGGAGGCTGGGGGCCTAGGCCATGTGGCTGCAACCTTTGTGTCCAGAAAGGCTGCTTCTCCCCAGAGAAACCAACTGCTCTCCTCCACCTGCTCCAGGCAGGCAAACCCCAGGGCCCATGGCGTAGCTTCATGGCCCTGCTCTGTGCTTTGCGTGTAACCTGCGGCTGCTTCTTCAAGCCTTTAGGAACCAGCTGCCCCACCTACACCTGCCCCTTTGCTGTAGGGCCAGTGCACCCCTCGTTTGTACCGCTATAAGGCTCAGCGAATAACCGATCCAGGGGTGCGGTCACACCGTGCAGTGGCCGGCCCGCTTGCAGTGACTATCGATCAAATCCACCCAGAAGTGTGGCCAGTTCCTGCTGCTACCTCCCGGCAGACCCAGCACCGTCTAGACCATCCCTGATAGACATTTATAAAATGTACTTCTGTAAAATGGGCTCGTAACCCTCCCATATCTGTGTGGGCTTCCGCTCGGCACAGGGGACTGAGGTCTCCCTGGGTGTTCGTGCGGCACCAAGCACCACTGATGTCCAATGAAAATTGCAGATTCCTACAAACCCAGTTTTGCCTGGAAAATCTCACTCCAACGTGGAGGAACAAGAACACTGAAAACCACTGAGCAGACCTTGTGGCCCCAGAGGCTCTCGTGTGCCGAGGCCTCCTCACCATGGAGGCACCGAGCAGAAAGGAAAAAATAGTTTCACCAGCGTTGCCACGATTTTCAGTTTCAGTATTTTCAGTAACAGTGAGTGGCCCTGTGGCACCTTAGAGACGAACCACACTATTTAGGGTAAGACCCGCTTCATCAGATGAGTCTGGGGATATTATCCAATATGAGATCTGGTGCAGGGGTCTGACGCATGCAAGTGCTTGATCCTCGGTATTTTGGTTTGTCTCTAAGGTGCCACAGGGCCACTCGCTGTTAGACGCTGAAAATCGTGGCAACGTTGGTGAAACTCATTTTTCCTTTCTGCTCGGCACCTCCACGGTGAGGAGGCCTTGGCACACGACGGCCTCCAGGACCAAAAGAGCTAATCATCAGCGCCCACTGGTCTAGTTGGGCAGAGGATGCATGTGGTCACTGCGGCACTGTGGGAACAGAGTTCTACGTACTCCTGGGGGGCGGGGTAGTGTCCGGAGCTAGTCTGAATATGTGGGATGGGGGAGAGGACTACAAGGGGTATTCTTCAAAACCCTGCGCGGTCCAGGCAGTCTTAGCCCAGCTCGTCTCTGGCTAGTATTTCAAGCTTCCTTCTGGGGAGACCGTGTTCTAGTTGATTCAGGATGCAGCCACCCGGAGCCAGTTGGTCGAACGGGCGGCCGAGGGGGAAGATGACGCCCTCTTGTCTCCGTGGGCACCAGGCAGGCAGCGTTCACACCATAGGCGGGACGGGAGCTGTCCGCACAACAGAAGCAGCTCGGGGCCCGTGGCGGTGTACGTGGCCTTGCCGCAGTGGGGTAAGTGCTCGAGCTCCGGTATTGCTCTAGGCGTGGGAGGCGGCAGCACCGTGCGGATGCGATGGGATGTCACTGAGCTCAGCCCTGGGGCAGCCCCAGGCCTCGTTTAACTCTGGGCCTCTCTGTGGAGCCTGTGGTGGGGACAGAGGGTGGTTTGTAAGCCCCCAGACGTAGCGTGTAGCTCATGCAGTCCCCACGGGGCCCTCCTCTCCCGTCACTTCTAACCCCGTGCGTACAGGGCCCCGGCTCTGCATTAGGAGTCTGGCACCTCACACGACAGCGACAATATGAAGAAATTGCAGGGCCACCGCTGGGTCCCGGATTGAACATGAGCATGCCAGGCCTGGCTACCTGCACACTGCTGCTCTGGCAGGCCCGGGGCACAGGGCTCTCACTATTTCAGTTCCTGTCTTCTGCACCTGCGATGGGGTGGAGCAGGCCCTGAGGCCCCCTGCTAGAGGCCCTGTGGTCCTGCCACATCCCACCCAAAGAGACCATAGAGAAGTCCTCCAAGTAGGCTAGAGTGGCAGCGGAGGGCGTAGCCAATCAGGGCCAGAAAGGCCTTATAAAAGGACGGCAGAGCAGCAGTTAGCTGGACAGCAAAGCAGCAGTGAGCTCAAGGAATGCAGGCCAGGTGACCAGGTGGCTGAGAGAGCAACAGCACCATGGACAGCTCCCAGGGGAGGCTGGTGGCGCTCTGAGGTCCGGGTGAAATGCCTCGGAGATGGGAGTCCAGGGGGCGAGCGCCGCCCTGCCCACCTGCCCCGCTCTCTGCCCCCGCAGACAGCCTCCGGTGCATATTCCAGGACGTCGGCTTTACCGAGCTCCGCTCCTACCACTACTGGGACACGGCGCGGCTGGCCGTAGCCGCTGAAGAATTTCTGCAGGTGCTGGAGGTATGGAGCTGGCTGGAGCTCTGCAGGGGGCCTCTTGCCCTAGACCCCTCCAGTCGCGTATCACAGCTGCCCGGTGCCTGCCTGGCCTAACGCTCAGGCGCTCTTGCTTTCAGAGTGCTCCGGAAGGCTCCATCGTGATGCTCCATGCTCCCGAGGAAACTGGCCTGACTCCCAAGCAGTGGGAAGACGTCGCCAGGGTCATGGGGGTAAATCTGAGGGGGGGGGGAGGGGCGACAGAGCTTTTCTCTAGCTCTTGTGGCCCCTGGGCGGGGTCTCAAGGTGTCTCCGCCCCCAGAAGAAGCGCCTCTTCCCCTTCTTTGACGTCCCGGCCCAGGGGCTGGCCTCCGGGGACCTGGACAGAGACGCCTGGGCTCTGCGACACTTCGTGGCCCAAGGGTTTGAGCTCCTCTGTGCCCAGTCCTTCTCGAAAACCTTCGGCTTGTACGGTGAGTCCCCAGCACGTGGGGCCGGCCGGCGGCCGCCTTGGCGTTCGGAAGCAGTGTGTGGGACGTGGGTCACTGCTCCCTGCTGCCCTCCCGCTCT